TTAGTAATCTAATTGTAGTGTGTAAGTCAAAAGACATACTTAAAATTGCAAAATTATTTTTATATTACAAAAATTAACTTTGTGACTTCAATGCAATGAATTAAAAGTTAAATGAACATTTCTATGAAATTAACCACTTGGATTATTCAAATACTAAAGAAAGAGATTAACTACTTGTCCAATATTACTTCTGATTAAAGAAGGCAATCAAATAGATGTTCCTCTAACGCTAGAAAGAGAGCTCAAAAATGAGGTCATCATAGATCCACCCCCTCCCTCCGTCTTTCCAATTAAAGAGAACAAAGAAGAAAAGGCACAAATATTTGCATCCAATCATATAAACATACACTTCTTTTAATGTGGGGATAATGTAAAGAAGAGGAACATAAAATGATAGATGGGAACTCCATTAATGTGGAAGGAGTGGTGGAGACAAATTAAACAATGGAGTCAAACTAATTGAAATTACATGTGAAGAAAAAGAAAAAAAGGACTAAGTGAGGCAACGAAACAACTTAAGGTTTAAAAGGAATATGCAAAGGTCCTGATCTTTTCGAACCAAAAATGTGTGCTCGATCTAGAGCTCGTAGACTACTATCGCATGCTCATAAACCAAGTTTAACATTTAGAGCTGTCAATATGGGCTGGCCCACCCCATCCGAGCTAACCCATACAGGCTTTGAAATTTGACGGGTCAGGCCAGGCTAGCCCATTTTTGGTGTGGGCCAGAAAATGGTCGGCCCAGCCCACAAGTACGTGGGCTACGGGCTTGCCGGGCCAGCCCTCTTTTCGTAAAAATATATTTTTTATAATTTTTTAAATTAAATTATAATTTAAAATATTATCATAAATATTGACAAGATAATATTACATGGTGTTAGTGTTACTACTTGTTAATTAAATCCACAAATAAAATTATCTTTATAATATTTATTAAGTTTGATTTCAAGTAAAAGCATAAATAGCTAAATAAAAATCTAAACCTAATTGTGTTCCAATAATCATAATAAAACACAAAAAACTATGACAATATTCCATAGGCTACGGCCTATGTAGTGATTCCTAGAAATTTTAGGGTATTTTTATTTTACGTAATACGTATTTTATAAACATAATTTGTATTTAAATTGTAATATTTCAAACTTTAAACTGATCTTGAGTTTAGACTCTTGTTAATTTTAATACTCTATTTTATTTTTTATTTTTTAATTAATTTTTATTTGGCCCACGGGCCGGCCCTATCCATATTTCTCAATTCCCACAAATCGGCAGGCTTATTCAGGCCAGGCTAAAAAGTCCTTTCTTAAATGGCTCCAAAAATCGCAGCCTAGCCCTATCAAATCCCGGGTTAGGCCAGACCGGCCCAACGGTCCTAGCCCATATTGACGGCTCTATTTAACATCCAATGGTAGTAATATAAAGCAACAATTTATCCCCAAGTTTTGGAAGACATACAATAACAGGTCTTCCAAGGAAGAAGATGTTGAGTATTTGTTGGGCACACAATTGGTTGCTCCCAATTGAATTTTATATAGCAAAGTAAAGAACTCCTTCGATTTTATAATTCTTACACTCAATTTTTCATGCACTCACACTCGAGCAAACTCTCTATGTTACTCTCTCTTATTTCTCACTTGATCATTCCTTACTTGAGCTCAACCTATTTGAGCGCACACTCTTTATTTGGGTACACCTTATTGAGCATACACACATCTCAAATGAACCACCTCTATTTATAAGTGGTGATGGAAGAATTTAGTTAAGGATATTTACTACTCTATTCTAGAATGTTTCTCCAACTATTTAATTCTAAAACGACTCTTTCTATAATATTTCTAGACTTCTGTGAGGAATACTCATTCTAGAGATCCTTCTTCAATTCTTCTACAACTATTGAATAATCTAGATTTTTCTTTGAAATATCTTAAATATTAATTAAGTTGGTGATAAATACTTAACACTACCCCTCAATGCCAACTTAATGTGTTATGTGTGTTCGTCATGAGCGATCCCTGAAACTCTACAAGCAACATGATGTCCATGCCCTTTCAAAATCTCAATCTCTGCCGGATTACTCTGATCCCTATGCTTTAAAGCTTTTTCAAAGGTAGTAGACTATTCGATCTTGACCACCTCAACTAATTTTTGTTGCATATGTATATTTGTCGTTTGGGCATTTCAGTCGTGTCGATCTTCTTAGTTGAGGTTGTAGAGCTTATTGGACTCCTTACAACTCTTGAGGGGTTTCATGTACTCTAGTTTGCCATGGGATCTTATTTTATCCTTTTGAAGATAGCTCTTTTGTATGTGATTTGTATTTTCCCTATACCTTCTTCAAGTTAATGTTGTAACTCTTGCTCTAGTTCTCTTGAATCTGGTACGACTGATTTGTACCACCATGTTGGTGCTTCATCAAATACCACATAAGGTATTTCAGCTGGTATGCCATAGATTTACTCTAATCTTCTTCTCTAGATGATTGACGTGCTTGTGACTTTCAAATTTTGATATACTTTATGTCATTTGGCCCAAACAAGACAACTTCCTGAATTTGTTAGTTGTGACACAGATATAAGTTCGTCATAGACATGATAGATATTTTGAAGTTCCACTTGTCTCGGGCTATGACGAAGCACAAACACGTCTTACCAATATTATAAGTTATTGGCATTTTTGAATTACTTGTAGTCACCACTACTTACCACCTTTATATTCGCTCATGTCGATAAGCTTTTCACATCACTTGTCATATGATTGGAGCATCACAAATTAATGATTCAATCATATGCTCATAACTGATAAGTTTATCATTTACAGTTGCAAGATCTAGCTTCCTTTCTTCGTTAGAGTGAGAGGTGAGAAGCTCTTACGGTTGATTTATTTCCGGTATTCCCATTCCCTTGGCCGTGAGCTTCTCTTCATCCCCTTTTTCAGTAGCATTGCCTTTTGCTGAAGAGTGCCTTATCTTCATTTTTTTAATAAGAACACTTGATAATGGTTTCTCCAAAGTCTTCTTCATTTACCAATAAATTTTCCAACACAGATAAAGTTGGTTCGCTGGCCAAACCAGCGTGTGGCCGTAATTATGTCTCTATACTCCAAGTTTAGACATGAACCATGATTCTCCTCATCCTTGTCTCTCTGATAGTATTCTTTGGATCTAATTTTGATATTTCATTAGATAAACATTTTACCTTTGAGAAGTATTGTTTGATCTTCATCATCCGTTGTGAGATCGACAAAACTCATTTTCAAGTTGTAATCGCGCATCATTTTTATCAGATGAGATCGTCGTCAAAGTTGCTACCTCATTCTTTACCCACTCGACTTTAATACCACTTGTTGAGAATTGTTGGGCTCATAACTTGAATTTCATTATGTCATTGCAAAGTAAGGATCCACTTCGGTCTTACAATTCTTTTTTTTTTTATGACAAGGGAAACCCGCAGCCGCTACCCTTTGGGGGCGCACAGGATAAAACCCCCGCTCCTATGTAATAGCTCGCAAACCACATAGGAGAGGTAATCCGCACTAGGCAAGCCCGATGCGACGAGCTCGACCCAGAAGGCAAACCCCTTGCTTTCGCTGGCAAGGGATTTCGAACTTGAGATCTCCAACATGGAAGTCTCAAGCCCAAACCATTGGGCCACCCCGAAGGGTTCGGTCTTACAATTCTTACCCTGTATTTTTCTTGCACTCACACTCAAGCAACTCTCCTTTGTTGCTCTATTTTATTTTTATCTTGATCACTCACTTTCTTGTTTATTTACTTGCTTGAACACTCAATTTTTACTCGAGTTCAACTCATTTACGCACTCTCTCTTTACTGAGTAAACCTTGTTGAGCACACACACCTCAAATGAGCCACTTCTATTTATATGTAGTAATGGAAGATTCTATTTATAGGTGGTGATGGGAGAATCTAGTTAAAGGATGTTTACTATTTTATTCTAGAATGTACCAACTATTTATTTCTACAATATTTTTAGACTCAGAGAATACTCATACTAGAGATTTTTTCTTCAATTCTCTAACACTCTTGAATATTTTAGATTCTTCTTTAAAATATATATTAATTAAGTTGGTGATGAATACTTACACGGTAGATTCATCAAATTCCTTTCATCCTTTATATCTTATTGGACATGCTCTACTATCCCTATAGGGCTTCCAAATCTACAACAAAGATGCACCCTTATTCCTAACTTTGCTCTCTTTAGAAACAACCAGATTAAAGAGTCCATTCATAATTTTCATGTACTATGGTAGTAAAATTTCAACTTTGATGTGGTTAATGGGTATTTCAGTATTGGTGTCCACAATAGCAGAGGCGGACCCACCTTTACTAGTGGGGTGCATGAGCACCCGTTAACTTCGAAAAAAATCATGTGTATATATGTATATCTATTTTGAGAAACTACGATATAATTAACAATGCACCCATGAGGAGCATAGGGGTGTTCTTGTGCTGCTTGTACAAGGCAGAGAACCACCGGGTTCGAATCCAGCTAGAGTGCTAAATTCATTCGCCTCTGCACAACAGTATATTATGACATGCAGTAAACTCTCTACCCATGTGAAACATGCTCAAAGGCAAAGAAGACTTTTCTGAATTCTGAGGCGTGAGGTAGAGCATGAAATAAAGACTTATATTCCAATTAAAATACGTACAATGTTTTAGACACTGCGTATGACATAGGCGTCTGCGTTAGCTTATATAGCTTGACTTTAATCCGATAGGAAAAAACTGCTTTTGCAAATATCTAGGACTCAAAAAGTATTAGTATTATCATTATAATACTTTGTTCGTTATATTTTTCTTTTTTAAGTATGTTATAATAATAAAAAAAGTTTCCATTAAAGGATTTAGTGCTTTTTAAAACATTACATATATATTTATAAGGCTAATTCAAAAATCAAACTAACACGAGGAAGTATTATAATAGAAAAATCAAGCATATCAGTATTTTGAAGTAAAAAAAATAAAAATAAAGAAGAACCTGTTGGTACTGGAGAATTCAAAGAGGCGTCCACGGCTGGAGAAGACGAGGACGGCGACATCAACATCGCAGAGAATAGAGAGCTGTTTGGCTTTCTTCATGAGTCCATTTCTTCGTTTGGAGAAAGTTGCTTGCCTACTGCTCTTATCTTCAATTCGCTTTATTTCCACTTTCTTCCTTCCCATTTCTTCAAACTCCCAAACCCTAACTAATTCTCACAAATGAAAATGGCCGTATATAAGAAGCTTTGTACCTCCATCTCCATCACTTTCACGAATTTCATAAAGTGCTATGAGTTTTATGGTCTCTCCTCCTTTTTCGAATCGTCGCAATAAAGCCTTAATTTCATGTTTACTTATAATTCCCACGCCTATTCGTCTTCTACTCTTTAGACCTCTAATTCTATTTATTTTTTTACAGGGGTAACTAGGTGAATATATATAAAATAGGGAAAAGTTACATGTGTGAAATCCAGCCAATGAGAGAGCGACACCTGGCTCAAAATGGAGATTCCAACGGCGGAGGCGACTGCTAGCGGTGATGGCGGCGTGGTGTTGTTAAAGATATAAGCGGTGATTGGCTGAAGAAAACGGTGACACAGACTGGGTTGTTTTGATTTGAATTAGAAACTAGTAAAATTATCCGTACAGAAATTTATTATCATGAAATTTCTAAAATAATACTTAAAAGGAAAAATTCTTTTGGCCAGAAAATTTGGCCATAATGGCCCAAATACATGTTCACACTATAAATTGATTTATTTTTTGATAACTATACCCTTCTTTGTCAAATTTATATTTTTCTTATTAATTTATTCATTAATTATGCTTCAATAAATGAGAAAGTTTTCCAATACATCGTAAATTGACTAATTTTTAAATTTCTCTAACTTCCATACATACATGGCTTTTAATTTCTTTTAGAAATATTGCGAAATGGTCAAAGGCCAATACATATGCAGTTTTTTTTTTTCTTCCTTAATTTTCTGATAAAAAATCTATAAATAATACAAAATTTAAATTGATAATTAGAATACAAAATTTAAAATTTACATTACAAAATAAACTTACTCATAAAATTAAATTCAAAATAATTTTAACTCAAACTCATTTTCTTGTAAAGTCTATCATAGATGTGTCGATCTTTTCACAACTACAA